AAGACAGACCTAAGCTTAGTCGGGGCACAGCTTCCGCGCCATGCCTGAGTGGACTAGACGCCGTAATAATAGCCATATAGCAACTTTAATGTTAAAAAGATAAAGACTGGGACACTTCGAGATATCCATTTATTCCAAAGACATCACTTTAGAACTGAATCATCTGGCCCTTCTTCTTCTTGTCACCCCCAAGCTCGAAGTGCTTACAGCGTTTGATCTTCAGCTGTTGCTTGTATTTACACTCGGTGCATTCCAACCGAAGAACAATCTTCTTTGTGGTCTTCGCCTTCTTTCGGAAGATAGGCTTCGTCTGACCACCGTAGCCTTAACAAAATAAAAGAAACGCGTTCGACGTACCCGACTGTTTTCGGTCGTATCTCCGTTTACCCTGAGCATACAAACTGGCCTTGCCAGCTTTATACTGAGAAACCTTATGCAGGGTGTGCTTTTTGCACTTCGAACTCTTGCAGAAAGTCTTTCTGGTCTTTGGGATATTAACCATCGCCGCACGCTTACAGTATAATTAAAAGTGGCGCCTTGGAGGACGTGGTTTATTTAAAGTCTCAAATCAATCCATGAAATGGTCGTGAGTTCAGGCAAAACCAGAAGATGTCGAATGCTACATCAACAGGCTGCATGTGACATAAAAGAGTGAAAGGTAATTTTTTATGTAATATGAATTTAAATAACATTTATGTAAACGCGATCTCAGTTAAACTGCTGGCTCGTGTTAACTGACATCACCACATGTGAGTGTATTACTTGAAACAAGCGACTAGTCGCCTACATTGCGTCAACGACTTCTTTGAAATGTTCGGCTGTGCTGATGCATTTCTTAAATACTATGCACCAATAGGGAGTTCAAAGGCGTTTGCCTATATATCCTTTAATAAAATTGACTTGACGTTCACAACTGTTGACGATGTATGCATATGGGCATTATGTCTAAGCTAGCATTATCGCCCATGCAGATTGAATTTCTGCAATGGCTGCACGAAAATATGGTTTGCTATCACATAATTTCTTCCTTCCTGAACTAAAGCTAAAACTGTAGGGCATGTTTGGTCATCCCATCCTAGAATACTGCTTTCCCCGCTATAGTCTGATGAATGTTTCTTGCCGCAGTAAGATTGAAAATGTTCAGAGTTTCTACTCGAATACTTCTTTCTCTTTTTCGATCCAGTTATTCTTATTCGAAGAAATGTCAGCTAACTAACATTTAACTTCTGTGGCTTAGATTTCTCGAAGTCGGCCGCTGTTTCCCGTTTCACTTTAAATCTAGCCCTAATCTCCCACCCACTTATGCTCTCACTCCGGCAGATCAACCGTAATTTCTCCGTGATAATTTCGCGACCCTTAAGCTCCACATCAAACCATTCTCTTTTCTTACCCCCATATATGCCTTTATCGGGAATTCTATTCCACTCAAAATAAGGTTGTCATCTTCATTGGCGGTTTTCAAAGCCAAATTACGTTAACAGAGAACTTCGGAAGATAGTAAGTCTTCCTTATGCATTATCTCCCCAAGCATGCAACTCTCGGACCTTGAAAAGGGTAATCTTGGCATTTGAGTCGGTTCCCTCTATAGTAAATTGGATTATATTACCATCAGCAGATCAACCTTCGCAGTCCTATTTGGACCCTCCCCTTATAAATCATTACAATAGATTGAAAAGCGTTCTCAGCTAATTCAATATAACCTACTAAATATAAGGGAGATAGGCAAAGCCTTTGAAAACTCCATTAACAGATAGATGTTCTCAGATCATGTATATGTCTCAAAGCCATACATGTACATTGTATAATTCGCTGTTGTTTACCAAATGTATGACCAGCAAGTAAAGTAAGATCGAGTCTTCTGTTAAATGCGTCAACTCTTTCAGCAAGATCAGCTGAGGAAAGAAGTTAAGGTGAGGATTCGTCCTGGGGCCCCCGGATATGCGTCATTTATTATTACCACCTACTTGCAAAATGTCAGTAACCATTTTGCAAGTAGGTGGTAATAATAAATTACGCATATCCGGGGGCCCCAGGACGAAACCTCACATACGTATGTATCTTTGTACCTGAATAAAGATTTTTATGCAGCTTCCAACTATGCTGGAAGCGACTTCTGCCTTGTAAGCTTACTGC